TTCGTAGTGGCTTGCATAGAGAATCACATCAATGAAAGGAGATATACAAAAATTGAATATCACAGAAAAGAAGATGGCGCCAGTTTTGGAGAGGCTTTTGATGGTTGAGCATTGAAATGCTGCTGCATAAATTTGGGAATCGCCTACCTGATCCGATTGGAAAAGAGAAGGAGCCAGAACGGAGTAATCATCCTGTTCACTCAGCTCACTCCAGTGATCAATTAAGCAACGCGAAAGGAAGTCATAACGAAAATTCTCTATGGGAGTTGTGGCATCGGCGATTGCCAATTGGAAATGGCAGTGTTCACTGGCAATATTCCAGACATGGGTTTTCCAAGCCGGACAAAAGTTTTACAATAAATCAAAAGAGTAACTATGTTTGCAATAGCAGCTTGTTTCCAATTTACTTAATCTTACTTCTTTTGGAAGAAATCATTTTTTGTAACTTGAAAAATATGAGATCAGTGGCTTACAGATGGATGATCAGATCAGATCAGATAAAAAAACTAATAACTGACTGGATTCGAAGAAACTCAAAATAAAAAAGCTAAACATGACCATTCCTTTCTTATTCATCAGATCTGTCTAAATCATCTGCAAACTTTGGTGCAATTTCACATGTCCGACATGTGTCTAACATTGAGGATGTTTAAGTTCAACATGCATCAAATTGGGCACTCTAGCCAAGATAGAATGTTCATCATCTGTATCGCATGAGGGATCTTGGTAATAGTATGTTCAAAAGAGAAGAAAACTTCGAAATGCATACGATATCAAGGAGAAAAGGCAGGAATTCTCAACAGTTCATTTTCCATTTCAGAATCAAGTCGAGCAACATCCAATTCACTAGAAACAAAAAGCTATCCGTTATCTAAATATGAAATATGGCTGCTATCTAGGTGACACGTTCTGAATTAAACTAGGTTGGACCAAAACCAACCTCTTAAAATTCCAGTCGCAAGTTTATCATGAAATCATTCAACTATCAGCGGTAAAATAGAATTACATAAAACTTAAAAACGAGCCAGTATCTAACCTACAAACAGATCTCCTAGTGCTTCACCAATGAAAAGCAAGAAAGTTTCCATAAAGCCATAAAAAAGGGCAAAAGCAGCTCTTACGGATTCCATAAAAAGGCTACTCAACATTACTTGTAAAATAGCCTGAGAAAAACTATCCTAGTGATTAACCATCTTTAAACAATTTGCACAAAATAAAAAAGGATTCCTTATTACAAGAAAATCTAAAATTCTCCAAAAGTTTACTTGGTCAAACAGCCCAGCTCATCAAAAGCATAGTTTTTCAAATTAAAAGTGAAAAAGGGAAATAATATCTTTGAAATACTCACTCCCGGTTTACCAGGGATTGTGCAGTGCCACACCATCAAATTCACTGTGCAATCAGGAAGTGTCTCCGGCTTAGCCACAAAACCCTGCGCCAAAAAATACATCAACCTAATAATACACGAATCAAAGATTATTAAGAAATAAATTTCTCGTACGTGAGGGTGATTTTTGCGCCAGGCTTTGCGTTCCTCCGCCAGTCGTCCGCGCGCAATACCACCAGACATTCTTCTCCAAAAATTTTCTCGCTACTACAATTTTTCAGAGATATACTCAAATTCCAACAACCTTTAAAAGTGCGGCTGACTTTTAAAAGGAGAGTTTTATTTGTTTATCTATCAAGTGCATCACGTTGATGCCGTGAACGGACGGTTGAGATTGTATAGCGATGCCGTGATGATTTGCTCAAAGCATCGGATTGTTCGCAAGAGAAGTTTTGCGGCTGCTTTGAGACCAACGTTTATTATATCATTAGTTAATGAAATTTCCACCCAACATCCTGGTTGATTTTATTTTTCACACAAATTAAAATTTTTTATTTAATATTATTAAAAAAACAATTTATGCAAAAAAAAAAAAATGTTATTTACCCTTATTTAATTATCCACAACTAATTGTAATTTGTAAATAGTGCGCTTTTGTTCGTGTTTCCGTTAATAAGTGGGAAATGTGTGTATGTGTTTGGATAATTCCAAAAAAGTAAAGTAAAATCTGTACAATTTTAAGATTAAATGGAAGGAATTGATTGTAACTAGGCAAATTAAATAAAGATATATTAATAAACAAACAAAACAAATACTTTCTCAATAAAAAAATGACTATATAAATGAGATAAGAAAATAAGAAAAGTCGACCTATATAAATGGGAAGTGAGAGTATTTCTTAAGAAAAAAATAAGTCTTTATTATTATTATTATTACAAAAAATAACTTTTTAATACTAATAGCAATTATAGTCCTAAATTTTTTAAAAAGTGCAAACGAGTCTCAAATAAATTATTGAAAAAATTAGAAACGAGTCCCAAATAAATTATTAAAAATTATAAATTTTAAAAATAATTTTCTTTATTTTTTTATTTAAATATGAGGGCATATTCGTTATTTCACATCTTTTTATTGAGAAATTACATGAAAATTGATAAAAATGATAGTTTGAGCAATCGAATGGGTAAATAAAAGTGAAAATGTCAAAAAATGAAAGCTAGAGACCTTTTTAGTGAAATGTAGGAACGTTACGTGTTAATTACCTTTCTAATAATTTATTTGAGACTCGTTTGCACATTTTAAAAAAAGGGACTATATTTAAAATTATTATTATTTATTTATTTTTGTAATTTAAACAAAATAGTATATTCATCATTTCGCAGCTTTTAATTAAAAAAATTGATAAAAATGACATTTTACGTAATAAAAGACGAAAATAAGAATGAAAATGCCAAAAATTTAAAAGTAAAGACAAATTTCACAATAATTATAAAATGTAAGGACCTGCTAAATACCAATTTTAAAAATTATAAGCGTGACTCCTAAAATTCCCCATTAATTTCGGTATGGATTGACGTCAGCAAATCACAAGAAGACAAAAATCAATAATTAATCTCAAAATCTTGCTTAAAAGTCGAGATTTCCCAAGATGGTCTCCCACATGCAAAGTCATATGCGAATGATCAATGGATTCGTTAAATTAGGCAGAGGTACATTTCATGAATTTTCGCATAATTTACCTCGTACAACAAAATTACAAGGCAGAATATGATTGGATCTGCTCGAAATCACAAGTTTGGAGCACAGAATCGATCACTAACCTCTGTTCTGCAAAAAATTACATAAAATTTTTTTAGTGCGTTTTGAAATTTACTTGAGGAGATCCATTCTATGAATCCCTTGTGGTATCGTCCATTATCTCCTTTATATTTGTAATCATCTTCAACACTTGCCACATAGTTGGCCTTTGCTCGGGCGAAGTCAAGCTACAGATGCTAGCCAGCTCGACCAGCATTCTGAGTCGAGTGTCGTCTTCAGTATCATCTTCTCTCATTGCTCTAACCCAATCTGGCATATCGGGAGGAGCGAGGAATGGATGCTGGGCTGGTGGCTTTCCAGTCAAAAGTTCTAGTAAGAGGATGCCAAAAGCATATACATCAGACTTGGCGGTGGCTCGACTTGAAAATTTGCGAATTTCAGGGGCCTTATAGCCTGCAGAATCAGGATTATCGTCTGAGGATGTGTCTGCAAGAGTGGCGAGGCAATAGTCTGTGATGCAGGCCTCAAAATCGGATCCCAATAAAACATTGGTCGATTTGAGATTTCCGTGAACGAACTTCGATGCTTGGTGGATGTAGGCTAGTCCCTGAGCTACATCTTCTGCTATCTTCAAACATGACGTCCAATGAAGAGGCTTTGCACGCTTTGATCTTGAACCTAAAAGGCACATTTTAAAGGAGGTATTAGAAATAAAATACAGAATTGATCTTGTTATGACACCAAGAGATGTTGAAAACTTGAGTTCAATATTCATTCAAAGAACTTGAGAAATGAATCTACATGATCACAACATTTTAGTTTCCTACACAACAATGCACTAACACTGCATATCCATATGATTTTCCAAGTACATTCAATAATTCGTTTCAAAAATTGACATATCTCCTGAAACTTGACGTGAAAAGCATCAAAATGTCAGCAAGAAACTTGGTTTTCCCTCTACAAATACGACATTGGATCAAATTTTGTTTTTTCTTAATAAAATTCCGAGTTCCTTGCATAATATATAGCAAGGAGGACAGATGGTGAGAGGAGAAGGAAAATGTGAAAGCAGAGTAAGAAATTGCAATTCCAGTGGCAGAAGTTGAGACGATTTATTGGACCAGAACGCATATTTGGCATCTCGAGATTTTAAGGAAACTGCTATAGCACAGTTGAAATTTGCTCTTAACAAAATTGTAAACCATTATCAGAACTTATATCATTCCAAAAGAGAATTTCCCAAAAGAAAACATCACTGTGCACCAGGTTTAAGATAACAACTCTGGTGCTAATTTTTAAAGTGTTACAATTGTGACTCTCAGTATGATTGTCAAATTACAGCGCGAGAAGTTTGCTCTCCACAATATTGTACCCAGGACAAAAAGTAGCGCTAACAGCTAATTGCTATCACTACAAAATATGATTATCGAGTCAAACCAAAAGAAGTTCTTTCAGACAGTATTCTGTTTAAAAAAAAATAGGAGATGTCATGAATGTGAAAGAATATATATCAAATAATCAGGATCTGAATAGCAAATTTAGATCCTATGCTACTAATTACTCCCAAATTTAGCTGGCATCAAACATTATAAAAAGATTCTTTTTCTTTGTTTTACTAGAATTCCCCTATTCTTTTCTTTAGTCTCCTTCGGCGTATCTGGAGACTAGAAATACTTTCTGATACAACATGTCAAAAGCAAATTTGTGACATCCAACTAAGCCCCTGTTTGATATACGTTTTCACAAAAATTTATTCTTTCAAAACTCATTTTCAATCACACATACTTCAATAAAATAATATTACACACAAATTCTAAAATTTTCCTTATTTCTTAACCACATATTTTCCATTACATCACATCATAAAATGCATTTTCTTATCGATAATGTGCATCAAACACCCCATAAATAATAAGTTCAAATATCTACTGCAATTAGTATTATATACATAGAAAGAAGAGAAGGTAGGCAGCCCATGGGAGCTGTAATGAAAAAAGTAAATTTGTTTTTCTTCTGATCTAACCAAAAAGAATTATGAAAAATTAAAAAGCTGTTTGGGCTCGAGGGCGTGGCCCTGGCCACAATTGGCTGCATTTTTCATAGATGTCTGTGCTAGGCCCCGTCTCAATGACAGATCAGTCCAGCCTGCTACTATCTAGGCAACCCGATCCGGCCCAGTTTACACCTATGCAGATATTGCAACGACTCCCACCGTAGATGTGGGTTTTGTATTCTATATGCTATTCCTATTTGTGTCATATGACTGATGCAATGCTGACTCAATTTATTCAATGATCCATATGGCGGGCACCTAAATTAACAAGTATAATGACATATCACCTTTAGACCCTACAAAAGCAACGCAAGTTACTCTCATGGTGTCAAACAATACATATCAATTTGTCTGTCTCAAGACTCTCAACAACACCACCATTTTCGGTATTAGCCAGTGGAACCCATTTTCCAATCACAAGAAGAAAAGTCTCTACAAGACTAATTGAACCACTAGAATACAGCAGCTCCATACACATCCAGAAAAAACAAGGTCTTTAGGCTAACCTCACCATAATCCATCTTAATTCCACTGGTCCACCACTATCCATCTAACTCCCACGTGACCGTGAAAGGAAAAATACCCTACTCAAAAATTCTTGAATAAGATGCAAAGAATTGAGCTACCTCTCCTTCTATCTGAGTTCAAAAGCTCAAACGAAGAGTTTGATCAAGTTTGTGTTCTACTTTTAGAATACTTCTCTTAACAATGCTACCTAATCTAAGCTCAATAAGTCGAATTTGAGAAATAAACTAGTAAAATCAAATTTGCAATTTGTGATAAAAGCGAAGAGTTAGAGAGGTCACCGTGAATGAGATTGAAGAGGCTGCCATTAGGCTGATAATCGAAAATGATCAACCTTTCTTGTTTAGCCTGAAAGTAAGCTCTAATAGGAACCAAATTGGGATGCCTCAATACACCAACAGCCTCCATCTGCTGCTCAAATGCTTCAGCACTTGTAATGGCAGTCTTACATGCATCCAATCTCTTGACAGAGACTAACAAATTAGTGCCCATTGCGGCTTTATATGTTGTCCCAATTGTACCCCTCCCAAGCAATTCGGCTGATGCCCTCATTAATTGTTCCAAAGTGTATGATTCTTCTTCCCCAGAACAAAATATTAAGCTCCCATTTTTCGCTATCCGTGGTTTCTCTGGACTTTTCATCTTCTTTATTTCACTTTCAGCATTTGCACTTTCATCTTGAAGTGAAAAAGTTGTGTCTCTTTGACCTTTATTGTTTGTAGTCGCATCAGCATAATATTCTTCTTCTTTTGCTTCGGTGTCTTCTTTCTCTTCTTTCCGCTTTTTGATTACAGCAAAGAGGCACAAAACTGCTGCTGTTAGGATCAAAGCTCCAGTAACAAAGCCTAAGACTACTCCAACTTTCTTGTGATGCTTCATTTGAGACGAAGGCGAAAGGGCAGTTAATCCTTGCTGTGACTGAGCATTCTGCAGTAGCGGTGCAGGCGGTGAAGCTGCGGCGCCGCCACCACCTGAAGTCACGTTAAAGAATGGCGAAGGGGGACATGGTTTGTTGATATTCTCGCCGCAGAGATTGGGATTTTCTGAAAATGAATGTATCTTGAACTTTTTGAGAGTAGGGGTAACAGGTATAGGACCGGTAAGGTTATTGTTCGATACGTTTAAGACTTTTAACGTAGTTTGATTTAGTGGAGGAATGGACCCATAAAACCGGTTGGAATCAAGGCGGAGATAACTCAACCGGTCCAAAACCGTCAGGGTTTCCGGCAGCAAACCGGTAAAATTGTTGTGAGACAAATCAATAATCAAAAGCAGGTGATGGGACAAAAGGGAGAGAGGAAATGTTCCTGAAAAATAGTTATTATCAAGAAACAAACTTTCCAGGTTGGTTAATGAGGAAAAATCCGGTAGGGGGCCAGTGAGCGAGTTGTTTTTCAGACTCAGAACTCGGAGCTGGTCGAGACGAGTGAGGGTAGCGGCGGGGAATGTGCCCCGGAGGCCAAAACCCTGCACAGTGTAACGCACCACACGACCTTGAGCACATTTGACGCCTTGCCAAGCACAGTAATCAAATCGTTCGTTAATAGTGTAGAGAAGCTTATTATCAAGGTCCGCTTTCGACTTGAACGAGAGGAGGGAAACTACATCAGGTGAAGGGGAAGCAAGTACGTTAAGATCAGTGCCATCGCCACCGCTTCCGGTGGCGCTGGTTCGTCCAAGAATCAAAACTATTAAGAAAAAACGAAAGAATTGATCCATTGTTAAAATAAGAGGAAGTGGCAGCAATCGGGGCTTGTTTTTGTTCTTCTCAATTGTTTCATTCGAAGGAAAATGGGCGGAGGCACTGGCGGAGGATAGAGGTGGGGTTATGGGGGCGAAGAAATGCGAAGCAGCTGGCAGAGAACAGGGTCAATTGTCACGTGAAAGTGTGAAGAAATTTTTGTGGGGAAATCACTGATTTTTCGTTTATATTTTTATTTTTGAATTGGTGTGTCAGTTCTACTTCTACATCTACTGGTTCGTGAGGTGTACGTACTTACATTTTGCATACCCTAACGTGATAATTGTTTTCTGTCGCTTTTATTTTTTCATATTTATTTTAATTTTTCTTCAGCGCCTGCTACAAAAAATTTGTCTAGGGGTATTTTAAACATACCATAAAGTTTAGGGGCTTCAATTAATTTTACTAATCCGTCACTTTTGTCAATGGTGCTTTCAATGTGGTACCTTAACTTGAAGCAAGTAATAATACTGACGTAAACATCAAACTTTATCATGCGTTAGTCTGGTTCTCATTATTTTTAAAATATATTTTTCTCTCCTTTCTTTTTAATCATATATTTTTTAATAAAATAATATTACACATATTTTTCATCAATTTACTATTCTAAAATGTATTTTTAGCAAAAAAAGCGTCTCAAACATGCCATATGCCACAGTTTAATTTAGATAAAAATTTAATTTTTAGTAGATTTTGACAAAAAATAAAATATTGAAATGTGTAATTGAAAATTTGATACAAATTGTGAATCTCATGACATATATAATTAAAAATAAATTTGAAGAAAAATGATTTTTAAAAAATAAAAACCAAACAAAGGCGTTACTCGTGATATGCGCCTTTGTGACAAAAACTGGAGCTCTACGGCTTGGTAGTTGTTCTAATATTAATGACCATTTTGGCAAGACTTTTGAAGTGAAAATCTAAGAGTAAAAATTTATTTGAAATATGTTTTAAGTAATTTTCTAAAGTACTTCGATTAGAAGAGTTCTTCGAAAAAATTGATTTAGTAATTTCATCAACAAACTCTTCTACAAGAAGTACTATCAAACGGAACCCTAAATCGATTAGAAAAATAATTTGCAAAATATAATATTTCATATGCTAGAGAAGAACAAATTGAAAATAAAAGTGTAGTAATATATTAATCGATGAAGGTAAAAGGAATTTGCAAATCGATGCATGTGTATTATGCAGTGTCTTTAAAACAAATTCGTCCCTCATCGTAAATGTTTGAAGTTTTGTTCGAGTGTCTATCTCCAGGATACAGCAGAAAACCAGACTTTAGACATAAACATATAATTTTTTTTAGAGAGAAAATCGAAAAGTGGAAATACACAAAAGTAAAAGGGTACCAGACTTTGGACATAAGCAGGGAACGTTTTTTAGAGAGAAAATGAGGAAATGGAAACTGTGTGCAGAAGTAGAAAGAATCGTATCGTATGTAAAGAAGTAAAGAATTGAGAAAAAAATGACTGCATAAATAGACTGTAATAGAGAATTAATAGGCCAAGAGTTATAGCCATTAACTTGGACACAACCAATTTTGGTATATTCAGTCCAACATTCATGTGCGTAGGTCAAGTCCGTACACAAATTCAAATCATAATTACACCATTTCAAAGTGTAATCATATGCAAAGTAGCCTTTATATTTGTAAACTTTCTATGTGGGACAAACTTTTAAAAGGTTTTCCCCCCAACACATTAACATCTTCCAATTTATCATTTTGAGCTTCAATGTCTCATTCACCCGAACATAATTTTTAACAAGTAAATATATGATCTCAATGTTTTCACAGAAAAAACACAAAGCAACTTTGATCTTCCAAATGAATGAACGAGTCCCACTTAAAAATATGCCAAAAGTAGTCAACTAAATTATTTTTTCCAACAATCCCCACCTGTTCGATAATGTGACAATGGAGGGTCACGTAACTCGCATGTAACTATAATTCTTTCTTGCTACGTTTTTAGCAAAATGGTGGGACTCAGTCTAAGGCTTTTTGTATTTTTTCAAGTTTCTTTTCTCGTTATGCACTTTAAAGTCTTCAATGATGCTTTATTTTAAATGGTGCAACTATAATTGGGTCGATTGTCGTTGACATTCGAAATAACAGGGACAGAAAATACTGATCACTTTTGACACCTAGAAGTATAAAAATATATAGTATTTGAATTAAAATTCAATTAAATTTTAAGTTACAGTCAATAATTAATTTTAATAATCTATTTTATTGGATTCACAACCTTTTTACCACACATTTCGTCAAATATTATTAAAATTTGCCAAAAAAAAAAAAAAAAATCTGATTTTAATTTGCACAAACAATAGCATAATTTAAAAAAAAAAAAATCGCATTATATAAAGAGACAAGTGCATAAAAATTTTAAAAAAATTATAAGAATATTAGAGAAAGAGAGAAGGAAGGAAACTACAATTTTACACCATTCCTTAGTTTTATACTCCATTCACCCTATTTATATACAATCATGCTACAAGTACAATTTTTTTGACATCAAATTTGACAATGTGCTACATGTTGAAGGTTGAGTGACCAGTTTTTAAATACTACACACTTTTCATCCCATTCGAATTTGAATTAATATAAATTGTCAAATTCGTTGTCAACCATAGATTGTACACAAATCATCATTCATTTACATATGCTGATTTTATTTTTCAAACGGATTAAAATATCTTATTTAAAGTGTGTTTGGTAGGGATTTTGAGGGGGAAGAATTGATTTTGAATAGTGATATGATGGAAAATGTGTGGTTAAAAAAAAAAGAAAAAATTATTGATGTGATAAAAAATATTATTTTATTGAAGAATGTGTGGTTGAAAATGAAAATTGATACCAAACATGCCCTTAATATTATTGAAAAATCAATTTTTGTAAAAAAATTTCTAGTTTACCCTTATTTAATTATTAATAAATTATTAGCAAATTATTGTTTGAAGTAGCAAATAAATGAGAGTATATTAGTAAATGAACCAAACAAAACATTGTTAAGGAGAAGTAAGCTTTATATGAGAGTGCGCTTTTGGATTTGGGTCGGGAGTAGTGACACTGAATAATTATTTAGTTCAATTATCACAGAATAATCAAACTTGAATCCAACGTGGGACCAAACATAATCAAAATCTGTCGTAATCTTTTCTTAAATGTCTCTTGAGATCCTGGAATCATTTGGTATTTGAACGAAAAGCCGAAAATTGAGGCATAGTTTTTTTTTTTTTCTAAAGCTGCCCAATATTTTGAAATTTTGTGAACGCCAAATCCTACTTTACATCTTTTCTCTCTACTTTAAACTATAAAGTCAAGTAAAAACGAAAAAGTAAAGGATTACCTTCAGTGCGTGGCATCTTCTGTACCGCGGGCCTACTGTTCATTATCTTGGCTTACATTGGAGTCTCAATTGACCAACTCGTGCCTTTTTTAGTTTTGGACTCTCCCGCGCTACAATCCACTCGTTAAAGCATCGATATATCATTGATTTTTTTCCTGGTTGTTACTGTGTTGACGTCCCTGTCCAAGAAACATATCTCAATTTCCACGTTGGAAACATTTTGCTTGTTAGTAGGGGTGGGCAAAATTTTATCGACCCCGTCAAAACGGAACCAATCCAACCGATTTGGATTTATTTTTTTGTTGTTTTTAAGTCGGTTCGATTTTTTGGTTGTGTAGGTAGGTTTGGTTGGGTAGAGTTATGGGTTAATCCATGAAAATCGAATAAATCCGTCCAACCCGACCCGCATACTTTAAAAATAAAAAATAAAATGCAATATATTTTTTGTAGGCTCGGCTAATGATGATTGAATAAGATAATATATAATTTTATTTATTTATTTACTATTTAATCTTGTCTATTCGAATTTAGTATAATAGAAAATTGGATGACTTTAATTTTTGTTGACAAGTCGTCCCAAACCGACCAACCCAACCCGACCGATACTTGATTGGGTTAGGTTGGGTTGTATAATAGAAAATTGGATAACTTTAATCTCTGTTGACAAATTGTTCCAAACTCGACTGATATTTGATTGAGTTGAGTTGTGTTGGATTTCAACCTTTACAAGGGTTGAGTTAGATTAAATTTCGATCAAACCAATCATATTGAGTTTGATTTGGGTTGAGACAAAAACTGACCCAACCAATCTCATGCCCACCCCTACTTGTTAGAGTTGTAAATAGTCGCGTTTAAAGCAGAAGAATTTTTCAAGTAGAAAATACAATTATTTTAGAAAGTACAGGAGATATTTATTAGTCTTTTATTTTTAGTAATTAGTAGACATGACGGGATGGTCTTCATTCAAGTCTACGAACAAATATTTGTAATGTAACATAATTTGGGCAGTACAGAGTCAACTCTAGCGTTGTGGAATATCTTACTCGATAGCCCTTTTTGCAACATAATTTGGGGTGATTGCGTGCGAAGACGTGTAATTTGAAATGGGGTTTATAGCGAATTTGATGACAAGAAATTCGTGATTAGCGTAAAGAAATTGTTGAGGACAAATATTTTGGCATTGATTGATCTACTATTATGAAGTAATTGAACTGATATTTTTGTCTCTTTTTAATAGAGAGTTTGTTCATCAATTATATTTTTTGACATATGAAAAACGAAGCAGGTAATTTGTCTCTCTCTACTTATAATTATAAAATAAGTAAAAGCGACTTTTGGCTTGTAATTAGTTACTGAGTCGCTGCAACGGTACCCAATACCTTACTTCCACCTGCTTCCCTTCAACCACCCCCTCAAATAAGAATATTTTTATTTATTAGTTGAGTATTAAATAAAAAAGTAAAACATAATGGCCAATCAAATGTGGTATCGACGAGTCAAATCAGTTTGAAAATCAAAGGAGTCCAAATTTTTTTAAATGCTGGTGGGAATGTAACGTCGTGTTCATGTTAGCCAGGTATTAGGGCATAAGCATCTTTAAAAATCACGCCATTTTCTTCAAATTC